TTTTTCTTGAAGTATCTCTCTTCATTGTCCTCACAGGCCGCTGGGCAGCAGGCTGGGCACCAAGCATGTGCCAAGTCCACGTAGGTACAGAGGCGTCTATGTTGGGTAAGGAGGTATGCCGCATCTCATACCTTGAGTGAGTGTATACCTCCCATTGCCCATGGGGTTGGCTTAGTTTTTCCCCTTGAGTGTGCCCTCCCAATATCTGCTGGGTTTCTGCTCTAATAAGGGTTCACAATTGTGCCAGAAAGGTTGATTGTCTTCTCAGCCACCTGGGAGGTAGGGACGATGCTCTGTGTTACAGACGGGCCCAGAGAGGGAAGTAACATGGCCTAGGACACATAGGTGATGTGAACTGCACTGGTCCAAAGCATAGACATGTCTCTCATTCTGGGGGAATGAAATGCATACATATTTTAAAATAGGATTATTTTGCCCCTGGCTGTGCAGAGTAAGTAGTGTCCCCAGTTTGGTGCTGCCTGGGAAACCCTTACCTCACCCACTTCCCTTTCTCCTGTGAGGTGGAGGAGTGACGGTCAGTTTTGATCTGGAGGGCAGTGGGGCTGAGTTGAAGCACATGTGTGGCTACCTCATGCTTTGCTTTTGCGTGGCTGGCCTGTACTGTGGTGTTGGACTGGTGTCCCTAAGAGCACCCTTTAGAATGTCCATTTCCCAGATGGCAGCACTGAGGTGATGGGAGACGGAATGACTGGCACTTGGCCACTCAGGGTGATAAAGGATGAGTCTTCGGGACCTTGAAGTTGTGAGAGGGAGAGAAACAAGTCTTTTTAGTTACAATGAGGTTATAATTATCATTACCTTTAATCTGTGTTGCATTGGCAACGTGTTTTTCACTCCAGGAACTTTCATGTGTTTTATGTCATTTGATCTTAAAAATAAGTCTGTGATCAAGGCATGTGTTTATCATCTCGATTGTATATGGGCACATGTGTTTGTCTGGGCCTGTGTGTATCTTTGTACACGTGCATCTGTGAGCTGTGCACTCTTTACATAACTGTGCAGTGTGTGTCCGTGTATGTACTTGTGACCATGGGTATGTGGGTGGTATGTGCCTGCATGCATAGGTGTGACTGCATATGTGGTTGTGTTTGTTGTAATATGTTATGTGTGCTCTTTGTGTCCATGCGAGCCTGAGCAGGGCCTGGACACACATGCTGCATGGCTGAGATCAGAAAGGAGGTGAGAACACCATGGCCTGAGGTGGCAGCAGTCGCTGGGAAGCGAGGTTTCGTCTGTCTCCCGGAGACTGATTTTGCCCTGGGAAGATGCTCTAATTCCTGTGACTCACTCATTAGAGGAGTTCAAGGCAATCCGGTGGTTGGGAGGCTGTCTGGGATTGCAGGTTTCAGAGTGATTTGTTCACTCTGCTCTGATTATTAATTTATTCTTCAAGCCAGTCCTTTCACTCAGAGTTCTTAACCTTTCCTGTGCCATGGACCCCTCCTCATATAGTGCTGTAAATGCAGAGACTAAAATACATTGGCTTATGAAAGAAACCAGTTGTACTGAATGCAGTGATGGAATGTGAAAGGCCTCACATCTGTGCCATAGTAACATCTGTGCTTCCTCGCTGGCAAGGTCAGTGGGGTCTAATGCTGACTCTAAGCGTGATGCCGTGGTGAGCACAGGTGGTGTCCTGTGAACACATCAGTGACTCGTGTTGTTGGCAGTCTCACCAGCTCTGTGGCTTGTTGCCAAAGTGCATGCCTGAGGGAGACACCAGCTTCTAGTTCCAACTGAGCAAAGATAAAACCTTATGTTTTTTCTATTCAGGTTGTGCAACCTTACTTTAACTGAAACATATGTTATTTGGAAGCTGGAAGCAACCTTTTGAGCAGTCTGTGCAGTTTTTCCAAAGTCTACCTGTGTGTCAGAAATACCCATGAACTTTTAAAACATGCAGGGATTTTGTCCCTCATTCTCCACCCATACCTATGGAATCAGGACCTCGAGGAGACAAACCAGGAACGCCTCCAGAGGGTCTTAATATTGCCAGTGGCCCCCAGGTGGTTGCTGCTGAGGCCCTGGAGGATGGGCGAGCTGTGTGTGGAATCCTAGCAGAGTGGGGACTCCTCCTGGCTCAGGGGCCAGCGCTCCCCCACTTCCCTTAGCAGCCTGGGAGGGAGGTTGCATCTTCCTATGTGAGCTGTTGGGATGCACTGGAGCGCGAGTTTCCTAGCTCAGCTGGGGTATTCCTTCTCCTTCTCAGTAAGTTCTGCTCTCCCAAACATCTCAGGCCCCCATGACACCCCCCAGCTGAAGTCTGGGAATCTGGAGCCCAGCCTTGTTGCTGTCCCCAGCTGGCTTCAGGGCACCCGGGGGAGGCTGTTGGCATGGCTGAGGCATTTGCCTTGGAAGAACTTCAGGGAGTGAAAGTGGCTGCCTGGGATGCTGGGTGTCCCGTGTTTACCCAGAAATTGTGCTAATCCCACCAGTTCCCCTGATGTGTGCAGCCTCTTGGTTCTGTCTACCAATTCTTTTCTGAGAAGGGGAGGGCTGGAGGAGGCTGGGGCTGATCTGTGGGAGATGAGGCCCGTGGCACATTGGGCACTGTAGGGAACCCTGGCTGGGTTGCTCCCTAGATGTTCACGGAGCCCCAGTGCCTCCCAGGCCACAGAAAGTGTTCCGGGTGATGGGAGTCTGAATAAGTGCCCTTCTGGGCCACACTGTTCATGCTGGGCCAGTGGTGGCCATACCCTGAGGCTTCCGGGTGGTGTCACGGCCAGAGGACCAGCTCTAGACCTGGTCCTTCTCCCTCCGTGGAAAGTAGCCTGGGGCAGCTCCCTTCCTCTGTGAGAATCAGGCTGATGCCACCCACTCCGACGACACAGGAGGTGGAATGCCCGGCAGGAGGGAACTGAGCTGGTGTCCTCCAAGAAGCCCACAACCTTCTCCTCTTCTTCTCAATCTCCTCATGTCCCTTAACAGAAGTTGTCACAATCCCTTCTGGAGCCTGTGGAATGTGAAACTCTTCTTTCCTTAGCATCCTTGACACTCAAGTCCAGGGGTTCTGAGTTGTTGGCCTCAGTTTCCCCATCTGCATTTGGGAAGGGAAGGTTCCAGCTTCCCAGGAACCTGTCCACCCCTCTCTGGGGCTGGGGCTGGGGCTGGTCACATGCACTGACCCTGTGGGCACCTTGAATCTTCCACTGGTTTCTGGTCCACTGAGCTCCATGCCTTCCAGATGCAGGCCTGGTTCCCTGTACCCACCTTATCCCATTGGCAAGGGGCTGGGCCTGGGAACCCAAGGGTGCAAGCAGGGCCTAGTCCTGCCCTATAGGAGATCCATATTGAGCATGAAGCCACCTGGGTGTGTAGCAGATTATGACCAGGCTCTGTGAGAGGTGCCATGATGGCAGGGGAGGGTCTAAACCCAGAGGAAGGGCACCCAGTTCATCTGGACAGTGTGCAGAGCCTAGCCAGCTCCTAGCCTAGCACAGTATGAGGCCTGAAGCTGTTTGTCCACACAAAATTATGGAATAAAGAAATATGAAATTCCATATTCATTTATGGAATAAATGAATGTACAACTGCCCACCCCAGATAGCCTCAGCAGACAGGTGCCGCTGCACAGCCATGGTGTTTGCAAGCAGTCCAGACAGCCTCAGCCTTTGCCCAGCCACTGACTGGTGGTCCCTGTCCACCAAACTCACCATCCTGGATATGGCCCTAGGGCATGGGCCCTGCTGAGTCCTGCTTCTGGGCCTGCTGGGCTACTGGCTTGGTGCTCCCCACACTGAAGGGCTCAGCTGTCAGTTACCTCAATGCCTACCAGAGAATTCTGGGGTAAATCCCTTAGCACCATGGGATCCTCACATGGGCACAGCTCACTGTGGTGCTTGAGATATGGCTTTGGGGCCAGACAGCCTGGGTTCAAGGCCTGGCACAGCCACTTATAAGGTGTATGTTTTGGGGCAAGTTAGTCATCCTCTCTGAGTGTTGGCTTCTCTTATGTAAAATGTGAGGGTTTAATGAGATCACACTTGTAAAATGCTTGGCACCTGGTAAATGCCTATTAAAGGTTGGTTGTTCCAGCTGTTATTTTGTGTGTGTTTTTGGTCCTTCCAAATTCAAGATGTGTTTCAAAGTTGGGCCTAAATTCTTCATATGAGCTTTTTGGGAAGAAAACCCAGGCTGTTCACAAAATCACTTGCATTTCAAAGAGCTGTGCTTCCCTGTCTCTAATATCCACTGTCTCTGCCAGGCATTCCTATGCAGTTTTTCTGTGCTGGCCTAAAGGGGAGCAGCCTTTGGCCTGGTGGTGATGATGAACATGATACGGGGGTGTTGAGTTGCTGCAGGGATCCCTGGATCCAGGGGGCTTCCTGGAGGAGGCAACATCTGAGTGGCATTTGAAGGAAGAGTAGGATCCATCATACACAGAAAGTGTGAAGGGTTTTCGGTGGGTGGCACAGCTTGAGCAAAGTACAAGGGCAGGGCCAGTTGCACAAAGGGGAGGTGGGGAGAGGAGGCCGCAGGTAGACACGGGAAGACTTTACCTGAAGGCCAAGGGGACTCAGAAGAGCCTTGGTCAGGGGAGGGATTTGGTGAGATTTGGTTTGGGGGACGGTGCCTGGCTGTCAGGTAGAGGGCTGCCTGGCAGAGGCCAGAGTGGTGTGGAAGGCTCCCAGCCCTCAGAGGGAAGAGCGCCTGGTAGAGAGCAGCCTTCTCGAGAGGCACACCGATGAGGTGCTTTGGGACTGACGGGACAGCGATTGCAGCTCCTCGGGTGTGAGCTCAAAGGCACAGCTCAGGCAGCCAGGAGGAGCACTCCTGCAGCCAGGCTAAAGAGGCAGAGAAGGTAGAGCAGGTGTGGCCTGGTTGTGTTGCTCGTGGGGTTCAGTAGCCAGAATCTTAAAGAATGGGTTATGCAAACAGAGTTAAAGGATCAGGCAGTGATCCTTGAATCTCAAGGCCAAAGGAAAACCCGTAACTCACCAAAATCCTGTTTCCCATTTGTCTTGGGTTTTTCTTGACAGGGAGTTTTGAAAGATCATGGAAATTGGAGAGGCCAGTGTGTGCAGACAAAACCAGGAGGTTGAGAATTTGGATTGCTGGCTTGGCAGGCCGTGGGACTGGACCGCGTTGTACATACCTTATCCATCGTCCTTGCGGGCCCATTTTCTCATTAGAAGACACAAGAATTTTGTGTGGATATACAAAAGTGAGATTGTGAGTCCCGCGGATGGCGTTTAGCCTTGAGGCCTTGGGGATGGAGCTGACCACTGTCTTTGGTTTCTGCCTTGCTGCCATCCATGGGCTTTTCTACCAGAACATTCCTTCCCACAGGCTGCAAACGGGCCCCACCTCAGACCTCCTTGGCTCTCTCTCGTTGTTGCCCCATTTTCTGCTTCTTTTATAGCAAAACCTCCTGACTTAATTGTGCTTCAGTTTCCACACTCCCATGCTCCCCCTTACCCTGACCTGGGCCCTGGTCATGATCACATGGCTGAAACAACTCAACTCTCAGCATCATTGTCTCAGTCTCTCCGCAGCTGGTGAGGAGATCACTCCCCAGCTTTCGGGTATTTCATCCTTGGGCTGGCTTCCAGGACTCCACGCTTCCCTGGTATTGTTTCCTTCTCTTGTTCCCCACTGACCGTTCCTGCTCACTTTGCATGGCTGGTTTCTTCTCTTTTCCCGACCTGAAAGTGTTGGAATGCCTGGTGTCTTTGCTCCAGAATTTATCTTTGCCTTCACCTTTTCCCCTGGAGATCTTGCCCTGTGGCTGCCATCCCCAGCCTCCACTTCTCCCCTGAATTCTGACTTGCATTTCCTACAGTCTCTGGACATCTTACTAGGCATCTCAAACTTAAATTGGCCCAAATTGAGCCCCTGATTTCTGCCCCTGAACCTGCTTCTCACCCCACTGTGCTCCATCCCAGAGAATGGCACCACCATTTTCTCATACATGTGGTGCTCAGCCAAACACATGAGCAATTGTTGACACAACCCCTTCTTTTAAGAAATTTGTCTTTCAAATTTCTGTTCTTTAGTATTTGATACAAATACTCAATGAGCAGTATCTGCAAGTGAAGAGGCATATAATAAGATGTTTGCTTGGGACTCACCACCTGGCTGGGTGCCCTGCACACTCTGGCATTCCTACCTTGACAACAGTGACTCCTCTTGCCATCATATCCCACATCTAAGCCCTAGTAAGGTCTGTTGGCTGTGCCTCCAGAGTGTATCCACATTCCACCTCTGCTTTCTTAACCTGTACCATCATCATGTCTCCCTGGCTGACAGCACTAGTGCCCCTTGTCCCTGTCTTGCCAATGGGTTTCAGCCCTGGGCAAGTTCGTAATTGATTCAGTGTGACCAAAGAAAATGACAGCAAAACATTCTTGGGGTGATAAGGGTTATACCCAACTTTATTTCCAGGTGGCAGGTCAGTCACTAAAATCCTATTCACTCAGAGCGAGTCTGCAGGCAGCAAGCCGGTCTCTACCTCTGGGCCCCTCTGTCTGCATAGCCGTCCTCCGGGCCTCTCTGCACAGTCAGTCCACACAGCCATTCTCTGGGCCTCTGTCCTCAGCGCTGCCCACTCCAGCCTCTGCTCTCCTGCAGCCTTGCAACCCTGCCACTGTGTCATGCCCAGAGCACTGGGTGGAACTCTTTTTATAGAGTCAACAGCCATGTATTGCCCACAGGTGTGCAGTGAGCTAGTCAACCAGGGCCAGGTGAGAATCCTGGCCACAGAAACTCTTGTTTTATCCACAGTCCCCAAGTCTGCTCCCCACACAGCAGAGTGACCCCTTTTATGCTGTGAGTCCTGTCATGCCCCCACTCTGCTCAGAACCTCCGGATCCTGTACTCACCTCCTTGCTGCTCCTCAAACAAGCCAGCCTCCTCCCACCCATGTCCATGGCTCCTGCCTCTGTCCTCTGCTGTGTGGGCTGTCTCAGAGCTTCATGTGGCACCTCATCCCCACCCCCTGTCCCCCCCACCTGCTCTACCCTGCCTCAGTGCTTTCTTTTTCCAAGCTACCTCTCACTAACACTTTTCATTTATTTCCCCCCTTATTTATGATCTGCCTCCCAAATAGAATGCAAATGCCATGGAAATATATCTTTAGCATCAGACACAATGCCTGATGTTAAGGGGCTTAAAAATAAGTTGACTGTATGTGAGTGAGTAAATGAAACAACTGTTCGACAAATGAAAGAACATACACATGAATGAGTGAAAGGTGAATCCTGGTGAGCAGGAAGGGAATGGGAAGATGAGGCTTTTCTTTGAGGACCACTAAGTAATTGTTACTCTATTGATTTTCATTTTCCTGTGATTCTGAGCAGGAGGTCCTTACTTCAGCTTGATTTCTCAGGGTTGCTCTCACTACTCACCACTCACAACAGCAGGAACTTGTTGCTCAGATTTAAAAATCTGGGGTAAGAAGCAACAAAAACACTTGGCTGTTGTCCGTGAGGTTGCTCAGAAGACCAGATGAATCCCAGAACTAATAATTCTCAAAATTAATTAAACCCTCCGTCCCAATTATAAGAGAATTCAGTTGGTTGCCTGAGAAGCATGCTGTGGCTGCGAATCTGGGTCGCATTTCCTGGCTGGGTCTGGGGGCAGTGTTGGTGAGTGTCTTTGTCTTCTCCTTTAGGGCTGCCACCCAGGACTATGAGTGCCTAAGATGGAGACGTCTGCCTCGGCCACTGCTGCGGAGAAGAAAGGGGCCAAAAGTGGAATCCTCGAGGGCGCTGCTTTCCCCGACCCAGGCAGGAAGGCCTCTGCTTTGGTGGTGGCCACAGCAGCTGCGGCTGTAGCTGCCCAAGGAGGTACTTTCTGTTCTGCACGCTTGGCGGCAGTGGGGGTGTTTTTCATTAGCCTGTTAGGATTTAATTAGACCAGTGGTCAATGTCATCGGGCGGACATGGTGGGTTAACGGAGTGCAAAAAGCAGGGCACTCCTGCTCCAGAGATCCTGGGCACTGTAGTGGGCACCTGCAGCTTTTCTGAGAGGTCTGGCTACCCCAAATCCGGGAGCCCAGCTGGCTCAGAATCCAGCAGGGGGTCTGAGGAATGGGCAGCGGGACGGGCAGGGAGGTGCAGTGGCTGCTGGGCGGCCCTGGGGTGTGTTCAGTTGTCACATACAAGCTGTGCCAGAGACATCGCTTCTTTCGTCTAGCCACCAAGGCCTATTTTGGAAAGTAATTGTCTCCTGATCCCTTCTGGCTGTAATTAAAGGGTCAGGTATGGAATTTAGTATGCTTAGGTGAATTTCTGGCCAACTTAATTATAACAGAAGGACTCCATGAACCACAGCCTCTCATTTTACTGCCCCGAAGAGAAATACTCTCTGGTTTCCACTGGTCCATGCCAGCATCCCGTTGGGAAAGTTTGGCGGGAAGGCAAGACCTCCCCTCGTGTCTCTGCAGTCCATCTGGAGGCCACAAAACTATTTATGTCTCTGAGGATTGGAGAGGCTTAGATTTCTTTTCTTTCCCTTTTTATTCAAGTGCATTTGGTTATGCCCTCTTGCTCTTGCTGCTCAGGCACAGCTTGGAGAGCAGTGGGGGAAATTCGCCCCCGCAGAGTGGCTGTGGGAGTGCACGCAATGCCTCTCACACTTTGATGTGCACACATTTTGAGCTTGTTAAAGAGCAGCTCAGCAAGGCAGGTGGGGTGGAGTTACAGCACCTCCCACCAGGGCTCAGATGACACTGGGGCTGGTCCAGGCCACGCTGGGACAACCTGGGGCTGCAGCCCAGGAAATCGGAAACACACAGGCAGGTGGGAGTTCGTGATTCCGAGTGAACTACAGGATGTCCACGTTGTTGTTATTACATTTATTTTTATTTTCTCCATGATTCTCAGTTGGAGGTCATTATCAGGATGTGTGGCCCAAGTCAGGAGAGAGAAATCCAAGGCCAACCTTCTTGCTCCCACAGGGAGGTGGGAGTTTGGCCTCCTGACCTGGGTGATGCCCTCTGACCCCTGTCTTTCTCGGACCCACTCTGTGGGGAGGGTCAGCTGGAACTGGAGGAAGGAGCCAAAGCCCAGGGGGGACTCTCCAGGCAGGCTGGTGTCAGGGAGACCAGAGATGAGAGGAAGGGGAAGGGGAGGCTGAGGTGGGAAGTCTGGTGGTGGCTCTGAGGCTTGGCTACCTAGTCCCAGGGCTGGCTCGTGTCTGCACATGGTCTGTCTCTTCCCTGGGTCAGGGCCTAGCCCTCCCTGTGGTGATTCCCCAGGCTGTCGCTTGCCTACGCACAGATGCATGGGGCTCTGAGGCTTCAGTGAGCTCCTGTAAGCCTGGGCCTTGGTGTGGCTCCAGCCTGCCCCTGGACTCTCCCTCAGCTGTTCCCACTTCAGCCTGGCTCTGCCTCTCTGGAGCCATGGGTGGATCATGAACTGCCACACAGTGCAATTTACTGCTGTGTCACAGTAGCAGAGGACAGACTTAGGCAGTAATTAGTAATTATGATGTGATTGAGAGGGAAGGCCCCCATAGCATCAGACCTGGTGGTCACCAGTGGTGCAATAGACGCTTGAGGGGTTCTCAATCTGGATGGGGGCTGACAGCCAGCCTGTGGCTGGAAGTGCAGTGGCTCCACAGAGGCACCCAACCTCATTCCACCTTGCCCACCCCACCAGCCCCCTGTCCCCTCATTGCCCAGCCCCCAGGCAGCACTTGTCTGATGAGGTTCCAGCAGAGGGTGGATGTGACCTGTTAGGCCAGTTGCACCAGGGCTGGTGGCTTGTCAGAGCAGTGTGGGGTCCGGTGTAGCTGCCCTGGAGAGCCTCCTCACCATTTCGCTCCCTGGCTCCTCTCTGAATAGCCTACTGGGGTGGCCCCACTGAGGGAAGAGGAGCCACTGGGTGGAGCAGAGCAGGAGGTACCATGGATCTGACCACTAGTGCTGGAGGACCATGATGACTGTGTTTTGAGGATGGGGCAACAGAGGCCCTGTGGCCACTGGCCTGCACTCTGCTTCCAGCAGCTTCCCCTGTTCCCTGTGTGGAATGCCACTCCCTTTGGGCCCTGTCTTCCTAATCCATGAGGCATACATTTGGATAACATTCAGCAGATGTTATCCAAAGTCTTCATGATCTCATGACATCAGATCTTCCTTAAATCTTGTTGACAGCAACAGAGATGCCATGAGTGAGAACACTTATTGACTCAACAAACCCGAGTCCCTGAAGGCTCCAGAGAGCCTTGATGTGGGCCCCACTGCCCACAGGGGTGTAGGCCTGTGGGCGGGTGAGATGGATGGGCCAGGCAGCAGAGGGCAGCTCTTTGGGTCCCCAATATGGAAGCCCCTCAGGAGTGGCAATGCTCACCTGCTTAACTCTGGGTCTCAGTGCTTGATACCAGGCTTGGCCTGGGATGATGCCTGAGGGTCTCCTGTGGACCTGAGAGGCATAGGGGAAAAAGGTGGCATTAGCGAGAAGCTGGGCAAGGAAGGGCAGTTTGGTGGTGCCAGGCACATTTGCACAGCCCCTGATGGGGTGGGAGCTCAGCCTGCAGGCCTGGGCCTGGGTATGGACAGGGGTCTGGAGTAGGGTGGTACTACCCAATACATGTTGAGCTGGTGCAAGGGTGCAGGGAGTTGAGAACTGCTTGTGGAGGGGTCCCTGTCCTCAAGCTGTTTCTAGAAAAGCTGCAGTAAACATCCAGGTCTGGGGGGACTTGTCTGAGGCCTGTTTGCTGGGGCAGGGGTATGCCTGTGCTGATTCCCTTGTTACTATTCATCTAGTTCTGCTGATGCCCAGTTTATCCCTTCAAAGCCAGTGAGATTATCCCCATAGTCCACACTATGATCTGATGCTGTCCCAGAAGGGATGGTAGACATGAGCTTGGTGTTTCATGGCTTACTATACACCCATCCAGAGGGGTGGGTACTCCCAAGGATGTCAGGGGCACTGTGGTAACAACAGACTGGCAAAGCTGTGATCACCCACGTCTGCAAGGTGTACAGATGTGGGTGGCTCCCTGTATCCCAGCTAGCTTCTGATCCCTCATCCAACCCAGCCGCCACCCCTACCACCAGCTCCAGGTGCTTCAGTTCCGCTACTGGAATAGTATAACTTCAGTTCTAAGAATGAAAGTAACTTCAGGCAGAAAAATTCTATTTCCACATCATTTGTAACTAAAAAGTTGGAAACAGCCTAACTGTTCAATGATAGGAAATTGATTAATCAAACTGTGAAACATCTGTTGAATGGAACACTATGGGCCATTGAAAATGTTTATCAAGACTTTATAACAATGGGGCAATGTGCTTATGTTCTAATAGCAAGTGAACAAAAGGAGGGTACATATTATATCTCACTTCTATTGCAACTTTATGGGACATAGAAGTACCTTAGCAGTGATTGTCCAGACGTTGGGACTCAGGATAATGTACATTGCATACAGGAAGCTCATGCCTTTGGTTCTTAAGGCCCCACAGCCTTCTAGAATTCTCTGTTAGAATGTAAATGCCTTTGAGAGGCATGGGTGTGTTGGAGCCAGCCCGTGTTAACTTCCGAGAACTGAGTGTCCACATCTCGTTCCAATTCTGCCATCCATGACCTTCGGTTGGTAACTAGAATTGGCCGTGAGAGTAGTTACAGCAGGAAAATTGGCAAACACCACGCATCATGGCTGCCTCCTCCCTCGCCTTTCTGCCAGAGCCTGCACAGAGTCATGTGCATCTACCAGCACATGACTGATGGCATCTTAGGTCTCATTCAGATACACTGACAGCCAACTGATTACAAGTCACAGTAGCACTGAGAAAGAGTGATGGTCCAGAGGGAGGAACTATAAGGGAGTCCCCAGGGGCAAAGCTTAGAAAACCCAGACAGGGGTTCTGGGGTATTAGGCCGAAATAGCAAGTGCATCTAATCCACAAGCACTTGGAGCCTTTCCATTTTGTAGATGAAACTGAGATGAGGTGGGAAGGAGCATGCCTACAGCAACAAGAGCAGGGTCTGAGGCTTGGGCTCCTGCCTCTCACGTGAGGAAATTCACTAGTCTCCTTGCGTATTGGCTTTGATTATGATTTTAGATTTGGGCCTTAAAGCGCAGCCCTGTAATTCTCTGTGGTGGTCATCCTGTCTCTGCACCGGCCTTGGAAAAGTTACTGTGGAAACTCACTGTGTCAGCATGCCTCAGCTCCCTCATCTGCCCAATAGGCTCACAGCTGTTGCTCTCTCCAGACAGCCCATTCTTTGAGGTCTGAGGCTGTGACTTATTTGCAGAGGGACCTTAAAGTCACCTGGCTCAACTGGCCTCTTGCTTGATGTCCCTTAGGTGTCATGGGGAATGGGTGTTTCCACTCAGAGTCTACCTCCCTGAGCCAACACGTGCGTCAGCAACACCTTTGCACAGCAGGGCAGAGCTACAGCAAAGAGAAAAGCAGTCAGATGAGGGAAGGTTCATGGAATTACCTGGCGGGAGAGCTCCTGAGATCAGACAGCAGACAGCAGCCAGAGGGTTTTCTCCCATCCTCTTGAGCTGTGGTGCTAACACTTCAGAGGCCATAAATCTTTAAAAACACATTTTGGCTCAAGCCTTTTCCCTTTTAATTTTTAAAGTGGTGTAGTTTTAAAGGCAATTTGATTCAGATGTTGCTCATTGCTTTACATTGAGACTGCCCAAATGCTGTCCTCCTCCACAGTGGGTTTCCATTCCAAAAATATTTCTGAACCTCTCTGTGTGCCTCAGCAGAGTACCAGGGATGTAGCTGCTCCAAGCAGCCAGGCTGGGATGATTGGAAAGGCTGGAGCCAGAAAGCATGGAACTGGGTCTTGGGTGAGCTTTGCTAGTCCCTTAAGTCAAGCAGCCACTT